TACCAGGCCAGATGCTCTATTCTACATTAGTTTTTTTATGTGTAGGTACAACTGAATGAAGTGGGGACTGAGGGTCTTACCGTCTTCAAGGAAGCAAGTGACGAACCTGATGAGTCTGCGCCCGGTGAGAAGAACATTTCTAGTCATCCTATTTGCAGATGGTGACCATTGCAATAAGCCAATAAAGGCTGAGGATCTCACCCCTTGCTTCACTTTGAGGGCATCAGATGTACTCTTTTTCTCTTCATTAGGATTTTTTCCAATTGGGTTTTTTCCTAATGAAGGTTTTTAATGAGGCATCTCCCCAACATGGACAAAGGCGGGGATCTTTGTTAGTACCCAATTTTGATAGATTTTGATGATGCCACTATACTTCGCACTTGTACATTGTGTCTTATTTAATTCGAGTATTAGTGTTCAAGTTTAAATTTAAGTGACCAAAAGAAATGTACAATTTTTGAGACTAAAGAAATATTTCCGGAAAAGTAAAAATGCAATAAGGTAATTTTTATTTACCTTAATAGGATAGTTAGATCCTACCGGCAAATATTATTTAGCTCAAAGATTAATTAAATGTCACATTTTAAAGAAAAGAAGCTCGAAAATCATACACATTCAATGTCTATGATTGGAAGACAAAACTGACCTGCGTTGAATGCTAAAACATGTACATGGACCTACGGCATGGGACACACACTTCCAGCGGCCAAAATTATTGAAGACAAAAGAACAGTACCAATAAATGCTCCAGCACAAGAAGACGAATGTACAACTTTTCCTTGCCAGATTTTCAACATCCAAGATCAATCTATCCTAACCAACGGATAAGATTGATCAGCCAGAAAAGCCTATAAATACCACCTCTTAACCAGGATATACTGTGTGTTGATTAGCTTTCATTCAACAAAGCACACACCCAACACTTCTCACAAAAAGATTGGAGTTTTCTAGCAGCATCCTAAGTAGTAGTCTAATTGACCATACTGCTTATCCTACTGCTTAATTACTTACTTTCTTTGAGACGAGCTTTTCACAAAAGACCTGTAGCATCACTACTAAAAGTGTGTCCTGTCAGATTTCTGAATCACAAATCTTAAGGCACAGCAGTTGCCTCAGCAGTCCCCTGGAGACTACCCAACTGTTGAGACCACTACTCATACAAATTTATTTCCTTTGAACATCTCAACTTCATCAGACCTTCACAACACTCTCACCAAGGAGTCTGTCCAACCAAATCTCAGAAACTGAAGTTGTAACCCAGCAGGTGCCTCAGCAGTTCTCTCATTGACCACCCAACTGCCGAGACCACTGCTCCAGTAAAAGTCCCAGTTACTTATACTAAAGCACATCTTTTGAAAGCCCCTATCACCCTGAGCAATATTATATAATTAGTCTTCTCATACCTTCATTTTCACTTAAGCAGGTACCTTAGCAGTTCCCTGGTAACTACCCAACTGTTGAGACCACTGCTCTCATTAAGGTTGATTATCCATCCATCTCATTACATCATCAGAAAGTCTTTTTCATTCTGAGAAAGATTCTGCTTGCACTTTCACCATACACTCAGTATTTCACTAGCAGTTGCCTCAACAGTTCCCTGCCCTTCAGTCAACTGCCAAGCCAACTGCTCACTATATAAAGTCCAAATTTCACCCAAGTTAGAAAAGTGTCATACATTAAACTTCTAGAGGTTAAAGACTTCCGTTGTGTATCTATAAATCTCCCAAAAGATTATAGATCAACTCATCTAGAAGGGAAAAGCTTTTAAAGATGAAAAAACTTTAAAAATCTATTCACCCCCCCCCCCCCCCCCCCTTACATCTATCCGGGACCATCAATCTTCTAGTCTCGGAGAAGAGCAACTGACTTGGACTACTCCCTCTTAGCCAAGTCTACTACTCGACCAAGGGAGTGGGGGACTCATGATGGAGTAATGAAACTAGGCCCGGAGCCTAATCAGCCCAAGCCCCGAACTTGGACCCGTGGATCCAAGTCCACAACCTGGAGCCTACCTGTCAGCCCAGCGGGGAGCCTTCCAGTCCGGCCGACCTCCCAGCCCGGAAGAGTAACGGTCAAACAATTAATGCACCATTAATTATGTATTTAATTCCGTATTAATGTTGTAATTAATTAGTCATTATTATCGGTTGCGGTTACGATTTGTATACGCCTATAAAAGGCGGGTTGTAATTCAGATTATGGGGAGCGAATTCTACATGCTATTTCTGGCTACCAAATTCCGTTTGCTACTTTCCTTATTCATATTACTTTCTTGATTCCTGCTTGAGTGTTCTTACGTAGCTTTCCTAAAATCCTACGAGCGTCCTATTTTGGACTAACAAGGAGCATTGCAGATATAAGAGTATTTGGGTTCGCCAACCTTTTCATTAGGGGTGGGCAAAATGACAAACCGGCATGGTACCGAACCGGACCGGTATGGTACCGGACCGGAAAACGGGGTTTGAAACGATTCTCAAAAATTTTGTCTCGAACCGGACCGTACCGGTTCCAAACCATGCCATGACCGGTTCTCATTTTATGAGAATCGGTACCGGACTGAACCAGACCGAATTATAATTTTATTAATTTATATAATTTTATAATTATATATACATGTATACCATATTACCATTAAGGCAGACTTTATAGACGGGTACTTCTTTCCTACTAATTTACCAAATTGATTGTTAGCATCTTATTTCATAATAATTTATTGTGCTTAGAGCTAGAGTGGTGGTCAACGGGTCGTGAACGTTTTGTTATTTATGTTCTGTACTACTCCCTCCAGTCCCAAATAAAATTCACACTTTCCTTTTGGGGTAGGTCCAAAATAAACTTCACACTTCTTCTCTCTTCCTTATTTACAAATTATCTACATCAAAACAGTGCAAAACAGTGTCAAACAGTGTCACAATAGTGTACTCTACATTAAAGTCAAATTTATTTCCTTAATTTGTGTAAAGTTAAAGTGTGAATTTCATTTGGGACCGAAGGAAGTATTATAGTTTATATGAAATTCATTAACTATGTAATATGAAAATTGATAATTGTGTGAATTTTTGGATGATGACTAAGTTTTAATTTTTCGAAAAAAGTGACATTGTTTGGTATTGGTATGGCATGGTACCGGACTGTTTGAAAATAAAACCGTACCGAACGGGTTTAGGTCTAAGACCGAATCGAACCGTTTCAATAGTAACGGTCCGGGTATGAGTTCGGTAAAATATTGAACTGGACCGGATCGCACTCACCCCTACTTTTCATGGATTAACTAGAGTAGGAGGCTGACTTTTTGGGAGATGATGTTATCCGTAGAAATTAATAGCTCCCGTGGAAATATGTATTAGAAATTTTAGTTTTCTTATTAGAGTATTGTTTTCTATCTCCATTATCCAAGAACTTTGAGTATTTGTACTTTTAATTTCAAAATTGTGATTGTTTGACTCATTTCTCATTTTTTAAATTAATGACTTATTGACTATATTTATATTTGAAGATACATTGGTGTATATAAGATAAAAACTGAATTTATTTCAAACTATTTTGATAATGTGAAATTGGTGCAATGCCATGAACGAACAAAGGTCAAAGAACAATATATGTATATATTTCAAAAAACTAACTTATAATATTTAATATTTACAAATACAGCTCCATATTTTTAATATTTATAAATACATCCCATAACATTTACGGAGTAATATTTATAAATATGCCCCCGTATCCATATCCTACTTTTTTTTGTTTTCTCGTATCCCTGTACCGTTTCCGCGTTTCCGCGAATAGGTTGCGATTGAGATTTGTTTTTCAAAACAAACGCCAAAGGACGTCGACTAGTTTCTTTGTTAAAAAAATCCATTGGTACAACAAGTAGGTTTGTTCTCAGTATCTCTCTTTCCCAATTGAACTAACCAAAAATTAAGCTAAAAATGCAATACATTATTGTCAATGGCAAGCATCATACATTCATACTATCATTTGGCCAATAGAGCATAGGGTGGGTGGGGAGGGTGGACTCCTCTCTTCATTGTAATATGATTACTTTGTTTCGTAGATACCAATTGTATAACTATACCCTACTTTCTAAATTTCACTAAAATTGTATAATAAAATTTGTGTTGGTTATAAATTATTTTTACTTTATTTTTATTTTATCAACTAAAAGTCTACAATTGTCTCAAGCCAAATTTGTTAAAATTTGTATGATCATAAATTATTAATACATTTTTCTTATTTTATGAATTCAATATCAATCATATAAACATTTTTTTCTTAATAACTGCATCACCTTCTCACGTCTCATGTTATTGGGACGAAGATAATAATATATAGGAATTTTATCAATTCAGGACCCGAAAGATAGAGTAATTATCAATTCGGGACGTGAAAGATAAAATGCATCGATATAGGATCCGAATGATGAAAAACTATCAATTTAGAACCTGAATGATTGAAAACTATTAATCTAGGACCTAAGTTCTCATAATTTTTTTATTAAAAAATTTTAAATATTATTTCGTTTTATGAAACTAATAAACTTTTGTGAAGAAAAGTTTATAAAAAATTAGTAATGGAATTATTAAAAAAATTGAATAAATCAAAACCTATGAAACGTTAGGTCCTAAATTGAGAATTTTCCATCATTCGGGTCCTATACCAATACGTTTAATCTTTCGAGTCCTGAATTGATAATTAATCTATCTTTCGGGTCCTGAATTGATAAATTCCTAATATATAGTATGGAGGTAAATTTTTGTTAGCCCTAGGCAACATGAGGCTAGAGGATCATTAACTAAGAAAACCCTCCTTGATTATTTGAAATGAGGACCTCCGAATTCTTATGTTTTGGGTGTGATCTATTGGACCGACCCCACTTGTCTCCTAGACTAGTGTTTTTAACTCATATATATGTCGGTCCTGAGTTATTAACACCAACCGTGCGTTTGGGTTCAACCCTCAAAGCAAACAGTTTTCAGAAACCAAACCAAAAGGCAAAATGGGGCTCACAGAGTGACACACTTTACTTATTCGGTAATCAAGAATGACCAAAACTGGATTCCCATCTGATTAATGAAAAATAAACTAATCTGCTCTACGGCTGTTGTCAAGGTCATTGACAAACTCATTTTCAGTTGCTTCTTGGGAAGTTGCATCAGTTTCATATTGCTTCAATAAATCTATACAAGAAGGATCATAAGCACTGACTATGTGCAAATACTTGGCAGCTTCAGCTTTCCGGCCCACTATGTACAAAGCACTTGAGAATAATACTAACGCGTCATAGTAATGTGATTTTATCCTTGGATCCTCTGGCTACTTCATCAGAGCTACTTTCTCGAGGTGTGCAATGCCCTCTTCATACTTCCCCTGCCGTATACAAGTCACACCTGCCCATTGAGATGATAGGATCAAATGATCGACATCCTCAACTTCCGCAGGGTGCCTATTTATGAGCAGCTCAGAAATACAACTCTGCAAGTTTTCAGCGGCTTCTGATGAGAAACCATTTTGCAATTGTCCATGCATCAAAGCCCTTGCATAATCAGGATCCTTGGCAAGGGCAAATCGCATCAGTTGAAGAGCCACGTCCTTTTTACCTTCAGCAAAGAGTGTGGTTGCAATACTAACAAGCTCTTTGGCCGACAGATTTTGGGCAGGTATCTCCCGTAAAGAATCTACATTGCACATGCACAATGTGCGTTGTAAAACCAAATGAGCGAAATGAGCATTCTTTAGAAACAAAATGAGTTTTATTACATCCAAATGACCATTTCATAAAATGAAAATGAAAAGAACAAAAAAATAAACACAAAGAAATAAGCATAAAACTCCATATGCCAAATGAACAGAACAAAAAAACATGGACACTACGCATGTGATCATTCTCTATATGCAACATAAGCGGTTATTAAAAAATGATAAAATACCTGGATGTGAAATTACATTCGGATTTATGACATAATTTGCCATCTCTTGTGATCATTTGAAGTATTCATCAACTCTTCCTTTGAGCAGTCTACGTTGTTTTGTTTTGCAATTGCAGAAACCTCCTTATCTGGTAGCCCTAATTTCTTACGAACCACAGGATGCCTAAGAGAAATTTGCTGAAGTAGACTTGATATACTATTGAAAACCCAGTACACTAAACTCCCCTGTGGCAAATTGAACGAAATAAACAGTATTGGGAGGGACAGAATCTCCAAGTATAGTTTGTAGTACTTTGCTAATAAAGCAAAAGGGCCACTGGTTTTCATAAGTGATGAACTCTGAAAGGAAACCTGAACATTAGTGAAATGCAGCCCAGCAATCAGTAAGGGTAATATGGGCCCTAAAGTGCCATTTGGCACTTCAGTCAAATTCTGAAACCACAGAGTTCCTCCAGCATCAAATCCATCATGGTGATCGAGTGACATTCTTCTTATAGTTGTAATCCATAGGAAAAAGCAGGGAACCTGTAGAGAAAATGATGAGATGAACCATAAAAGTGAAGGGCAACCTGCTGCTCTCTTCTCTTTGGAGAAAAGTTTGAATTGATCTTTGAATGTCCTTCGTGACATACATGGTGGGAAAGGAGGAGGCAACTTAGGTAGTAGCTCTCCGATCCTCGTCAACTTGTGGAGCTGCAGTACTACAAATGGAAATAGCGAAAGCCTCATCACCAATGTTCCAGAACCAATAACAAACCACCAAGGTAATCCCGTGAACACATAGTAGCCATCTAGCAACGAAGCTAGAGCCCAAACCGGAAGAATCGATTCAACCACGTCCGTGCCACTGGCTACGTAGCCCGGAAGAAATCGGTCAGCTGGAGATGCAGGTTGAGTGTGGTTAAAGTCTCCATCTTGAAACGGAAATCCTTCAATAGAAGTGGATTTACGAGTTGAGAAAGAGCGGGAGAATGAATGAACCCCCAAAGGAACTACAAATTGCTTTGATCCGGAAAACAAAGACAACGCAGATGGGGACCGTACCGATGGGAGGAAAACATGGTGCTGCCGCCGCAGGCAGTGATCGGAACCATGCAACTCGAAAGAGTAGGAAGCTGATAAGGAAGGAGAGCGGCGGAGAAGCTTGCGGCTTAAGATCTTTGGCAGTGCCATATCTTTATAATTATAAAAACTGGATCATGAGAAACATTTTGTAACCACCTGAGATTCTCGGTGCACATGTGTCATATAATGGTTGCATAAATAAACATACATGTGGAACCGGCAATAGAATTACAGTTCCCACCGGATTGAATTGTATATGTTGAGCACATTCCTCAATTGGCAGTTTCCACTAACCGTCTAGAACGACCTGCACAAATACAGACCATTAGTAAACTAACTGCTTCCCGACCCTATAAAATACCAGTTTTAACATCACAGTTCATTGTTGTTGGGGTATTATTGTGATGATTTTATTTCTTTTACAAAAAAATATTTTTGTTGCAGGGTGTCTATTAGATACCAAGATGTTGTTCAAAAAGATACACATGCAGAACGCCTCAAAAACCAATTGGGCATTAAGAGTTCATATGGTTCTCCAGCTTACAACAAAAAGTGTTGTTGCTAACTCTTGGAATACATATTGCATGAGGCTGATGCAAGTAGAACTCTACAATACAATAATTGTTAATTTAAACTAGATTGTCATTTGGGAGTAAGATTATACATTGTAAAGCGTAAACAGGGTGATAACACTCATAAGTATATTAGCCACTACATGAAAAAGATCATAGATAACATCAGATCTCAAGTTGTAATAGCCCATTCAAGTGATCTGTGTAGATCAATTGCTCAATTTGTATAAGATTAACACTAACATTTTATACGGAGTATAAAAATATAAGAATGTATAATAATTGACAAAGAGGTGTTGCTTGGTATCAAAGACAAAGCTAACTCATAGTGAACTCATTTTTACCAGGCCTGGGACCGGTTCGGTTCTAGTTACAATTTGTTAGAACTGTTTAAAAAAATGTAATTCTTAATATCGGTTCAGTTTCTTTAAAAAAATTAGAACCATTTTAGAACCGAACAAGGTTTGAACGGCTCGGTTCCGGTCTTTTTCGGTTCCTAAAAATAATGTACTACTAAAATGCACACCATTGAATTTATGCTACACAAAAACATTCAAAATTCACATCATTATAAATAGAGATTTTGTCAAACTTAGACATTACATCACAAAAACATCCAAAAGTTCAAACATAAGTGAAACATCAATGTTGAAACATAAGAAAGGAGCAATGTTTAAACATAACAATAAAAAGAAATGCATGCAATTGGTCACCTAGTTACTTAATACTCCCTCCGTCCTGCAAAATAGTTCCCAGTTTCCTTTTTGGGTCGTCCCAAAAAATAGTTCCCATTTCCCTTTTTGAAAAGTTTTTTGTGGCTACCATTCATTTACCTTTTTCTTACTCAACCACAACCATACATTTTCACTTTATTCCCACTTTCTTAAACTTCGATCCAAGTCAATGCGGGAACTATTTTATGGGACGGAGGGAGTATAGTTTATTAATTACAAATGGCCGTAATGTTAGAAACAAAAAAGAAATAATATAAACTATAGAGACATGTAGTGTTAGAAATCTAAAGATATATACCAGTTGCTTAATATATTTTATATAATTTTCTAATGAGTATAATAAGGGCCTAAGTGGACTAATATAGCAAATCCTCTAATTATTTGATTTTTTTAGTCCAAATTGTGCATTTCTTTATTTAACATGGAGTGAAACAGGCCTGTTTTCTTCGCATCCCTCTAACCGTATGGTCTTATCCTAAACATAGTGTACAAGGAGAAACTACCCCTCAACTAAGTTATTAAATCCATTACCAAAATAGGAAACAATGAACTCTATCAACAATCAGCTAACGAGCACAAAGCATATGAAATTAAAAAAGTAAAAAAGGTACGAATTTTATTGTAATTAGTTTTGCAGGACTATGCCGTCATTCTTGGTAGCAAAATCATTAAATAAAAGAAATATAAAACTTTGAACTAAAAAAGTAATCGATTTTTTATATTAGTATTAGAGAAAAGTAACTTAGTCATCAACAACATATTTAGCACTTTGCAGGGACTATGGAAGCTGCCATCATTCTTTTATTTAACTAGTTAAGTGACGTGCGTTGCACGATTAAAAAGTGTGCAATATGATATATATCTAGCATTAATACATGGATGTATTCATGGTTGATATGATCGTTCCGTATGAGCTTGGGCGTAGAAGGTTGCTTCAATGGTTTGGTTTTAAAATCCCAATGCATATTTGTAACTACTCCTGTTTTAATCTTGATTCCAAAGGTAATTTTTTTTTAAAACAGGTAATTTTATTAATATATGTAAATTTTCAGATTGAAAACGCAGCTGGATCCCCAAGTTTGGGTGATTAATTCTGAACCATAAAAGAAAAGAAAGCATGAACATATATATATATAAAAGATAAACAGGAAAATGTATTTATGGGCCATTAAAATGAAACCTTTTGCACGCATGCATATATCAAATATTTCTGGCTTTGAAAGAAAGAGTTGCAGAAAACTCCAGTAATGTTTCAAATTTCAATGAAATATTAACACACTCGCTATCAAAAGTGCATATATATTAAGAAATCTGTCATGGTTGGGACACTGTCGATTATAGTGATAAGTTTGCTACTTCATATATCACAGCACATCCTGAGTGGTTAGAGGTGGCTTCTTGATTTATTCTTCTAATGTGGCATATGAACCTAGTTGGCCAGCCACACAGTAAAAATGACCACTTGAATTGACAGAGGTAGAAATAGCCTTTAATGATGAACTTAATAAACATGACCACTATTTTAACAGTATAAAGGATAGAGATACAGAATTGATGCTCTAAGGCCTCTTAGGTACTAATGTAACATTTTCCGATAGTACAAAGATTGCTTTCATATCTTTGATATTCTGATTTTTCTACCACCAGTCATAGAGACAAGGATAGATGAAAATCATCAAAATAAACGCAGTCAATAAAAAAATCACAGGTTTAAGAGCTGAGTCTGATGCTAGAATTAGAAACTTAAATATTTACTCCTACAACTCTTCAATCACAGGATTCAGGGCTGAGTCTAATACTAGAATTAGAGACTTAAATATTTACTCCTACAATTTTTCCATCATTTGCAATGGAGTCAAAGACTCACTATTTTTTGGCTTGGGAATATGATGAAATAAAGCAAAATGGCTCACTAAAATGTCTGCGTTTTTTTGCTATGAAGTAGCAGTCAATCCATGCAATTTTTGAAGCGATTTTCACTACGGGTCATCTGGAAACGGTCTCTTTGTGCTTTAGTACAAGGGTAAGACTGCGTACATCCGACCCCCCTTACCCCACCGTAGGTGGGAGCCTTTGCGGCACTGGGGTAATGATGATGATGATGATTTAGATATTGTGTTTGTTTATAAATAACTAATAACTATTTTTTAACAAATAACTAATAACTGATAACTAATGAGTCCTTGGAATTGGGCATCCAAGGCTGTAGGGAAAGTTGTCTTGCTTAGGAATACATTCGCGTGTCTCATGTTCCTTTCTTTATTCTTCTACATGTACGTTACTTCAATTTCGCGTATCTGAGTCAACTGATCAGGATGGTGAGGATCCCCATATGGTGATCATGTCATTAAATCACACTAATATTAGATCTAAGCATTAGTAATAAAGGTCTCTGTTTTTACTTCAAAAAAAATAGCATACCTTTAATACTCCACCTTGACCGAGCAAAAAATCAATTGGGTCACACCTTCCAAAGCAGGAATCAAATCCAATTCCATCAGTTAGTTTTCCCTGCAAAGATCATATACATAAAAAAAGTTCAATAACCACAGTAGTGCTAATTGGTGATAGCATTATACCACCGTAGGATCATACCAAAATTGAATTCCCAGTTTTACAATAACAAATGAAATACTATCTCGACTTAATACTTGTATCATTACTCATTAGGCTATTATTATAATATAAAAGAGATATTCTAGTATTTCTTTTGTTGACAACAAACCTTGCAGTTAACATTGTCGTTTATAATGTGTATGCATTAAGATAATAGCAGTGTGAGTGGTAATAGTTTCACTCACCCCCGATAAAGTACAGGAACAAATACTTGGCTTATGCTGCCACAATTGACAAACAAAGTAGAACAAAAATAAGAGGAAATACCACTAAACAACAAAACAAGTAACCCTGATCCGAGTTCTATAATCACATTATTCAAGTCAGTAGGGTTAAGGAAACAAATTAGATAATTTGTGTGCCTGAAATTCTAGGTTTACATGATTAGATCAGATAAGTCACGCATTGGTGGCATAAGCAGGATTTCATGTTGAACAATGATCACTACAGTACTTGGCTGGATACCACTTGATACTCACTAAAAGAACTTGATAGAATTAATCACTGAAATGATGTTGCCTCAAAACTATTCACAGTAATAGGAAGATGTCAACGGGTGAAAGAACTATTAAGAGCGCAGGGTTTCGCTCATATGGCAGGGATGGATTGCGATGGTCGGAGTGGTGGCTTATCATTGGGTTGGAGTGAAGCTGTCGAGGTAACAATTATGGCAGATACTCTAACTATTTCGACTGCCAGGTGAGTTTGATGGAGGGAGGAATAACGTGGATGGTTGCATGTTATTATGTGTTCCTGGAGACGAGACAGCGTAGAGACTAGAGAGGCATGGAACATGCTACGGGGGTTAGCCGAGAAGGCGAGAATCATTCTGTTCCGTGGATGGTTATTGGAGACATGAATGACATTTTGTATTATTCGGAGAAGAACGGAAGAACACAAATGGTAAAGGTAGAATTTAGCTCCTATGTGGTAACTGGAATTCTGCAGGAGAGAGATAGAGTGAGATGTGGAAGTGGTGGGGTAAGGAGAAAGAAAATATGGGGTTTAATTATTTTTTTTAAGGAGAGAGATAATGGATAGAGTATGTCTCGTAAAGGTATGGGCAATTCATTTAAGTGTGCAATTCATTTAAAGCCATAACTTAAATGGATTGCCTCATTTATGGCACACATTATGATATGGGTAAAAATGGGGTATATTTTGGGTACCTCTAGCAAAACTCGGGGAAGAATACCACATCCGGGTTGGAGTATCTGCGGTTTTATGATGCCGTGTTAGCCAGTGGATTAAGGGACTACCCGTTCGATGGATATCATTAGACATGGGAACGGGGGAAAGGCTCAATAAATTGGGTGGAAGAGAAATTGGATCGAATTTTAGTCAATGATGATCAATGGTGGGATAGCTTTATGGCGGCTAGTGCTACTTTGGTCGAGGCTCCTATTAGCGACCACATGGCTATTTGGGTGAAGATTGTTCCGACATTGCACGGAAGGACACAAAAAATGTTTCAATTTGAAAATAGTTGGCTGAAGGAGGATGAGTGTCGCACCATTGTGGCAAATAGTTGGAGGGCTAGTTCGAGCATGAATGTTGGTGACAAGATTCTTTTTTTGTCGTCAGTAGAAGGGCTTTCGACACCAAATTAATGCTCATAAAAAATGGTTGGCTTGGTTAGGGGGGATGATCCAAGGAGTACGGCTGAATTTATTCGGATCCGCTCGGTGCTATAGATTTTGCTAGAAAAAGAAAATCAGTATTGGAGACAGAGGGCAAAACAATTCTAGCTGAAAGAAGGGGATATCAATTCTCCATTTTTCACAATGCAGTTACGGCTCGGATGATGAAAAACAAAATGGTGGGTTTGAGTAGAGAGGATGACCTGTGGATCACTGATAGGGGCGAGGTGGAAGATATGGTGCAGAGTTATTTCACTAATTTATTTGTTGAGCAGGAGTCGTCGGTGATGACGGAAGAGGTGGGACGATTTCGGAGAGTTAGCAACGATCAGAACAGAAGACTGCTTCGTGCTATTACACCGGAGGAGGTTAAGGCGACATTTTTTCAGAAGTTCTGGGATATTGTGGGTCCGAAGGTCGTGCATCTGTGCACGAGCATATTCGAATCAGGTATTTTTATGTAATATAGGGGTCTACTAACAACGTTTTAATCCCTAAGAAGGAGAAACCGGATAATATAGGAGTCTAGAGACCTATTGCCTAATGTAATGTGGTTTATAAAATTTTCTCAAAGGTGTTGGCTGATAGACTGAAAGGAATTTTGGGTCTTTAATTAGGGAGAATCAGAGGCTTTTATACACGGAAGGTCTATTGTGGACAACATTATTGTAGCTTTTGAATCGCAACATTTTTTGAAAAGGAAGGAATATGGTAAAGAAGGCTGTGTGGCTTTGAAGTTAGATATGAGCACGGCTTATGATAGAGTTAGCTGAGATTTTTGAAGAAAATCATGATAAAGATGGAGTTTGAGAACTTGTGGGTTGATCTTATCAATTCGATAAAGATTATTTGGGTCCTATCATCTTGGGTAGGGGGCTCCGACAGGGGGATCCGTTATCCTCGTATCTTTTTATATTGGTGGCAGAGGGGTTGAGTTCTATGTTAAGCAGAGCAGAGACTAGAGGGGATATTCATGGGGTGACATTCTGTAGAGGGGCACCTAAGATCACTCATTTATTTTTTGCTGACGATAGTTTTTTTTTTAAGTTGATATTAATGAATGCGGGAAGGTAAAGAATATTTTACGGCTGTATGAACAGCTTTCAGGGCAGATGTTGAATTATGATAAGTCGTCTGTTTTTTTAGCCCGAATACAGAGGAAACGGTTAGAATTTTGTGCAGTGCTTCACTAGGGGTTAATGGCGAGGCAGAGCAGGGTAAACATCTCGACTTACCAGCTATGATTGTTAGAAACAAATCGGCTATTTTGGGCTATATTCGGGATAGAGTGTATAGCAGAATAAAAAGCTGGAATAATAGGTTCTTATCTAGAACTGGAAGGGCGGTCCTTTTAAAGAATGTTGTTCAGACAATGAATGTTTTTCTTTTACCAAAGAAACTTTGTGATGATATTGAGAAGCTTATGAATGGTTTTTGGTGGAGAGGATCCAAACTTGATTAGAAAGGATTGAGATGGAGAAGCCGGAAGGGCTTATGCAGGCCGAAGGAGATGGGGGGTTTGGGGTTCAGAAGACTCAAAGAATTTAATCTGGCAATGCTAGCAAAGCAAGGATGACGGCTGATTAATGATGAGAATAGTCTGATGAGTCGGATTCTGAAGGTCGGGTATTATCCAAACTCTAATTTTTTTAAATGCTAATTTGGGAAGTAATCACTCCTTTATCCGGAGGAGCCTTTTTTAGACTCAGACTATTCTGGGGGATATCCGAAGGAGGGTAGGGAATGGGGTGGAGATCCAAGTCTGGGCGGATGCGTGGTTGCCGGGGAAGGGAACATGAATGATTTTGTTTCCTCGTCCCCAGGGGATTAGAGACATGAATGTTGCAGCCCTCATAGACATTACAGGGAAATTCTGGAATCGGGAGAAAATTATATCTCTATTTAACGAGACGGATAGAAATAAATTTCTTAGCATTCCTATCAGTAATCAAGACATGAAAGACGGTTTCTAGTAGAGTGGGGAGATTAATGGGGTCTTCTCGGTGAAGAGGCGAAGAGCTGCTATCGTCCTCTGGCAGACCAACGGTGGGATGGGTGGAAGTTGATGTGGGGTTTACCGGTTCTCCAAAATTTAAATATCTTGCAACTTAAGAAGGAAAGGGATGGAGATTCAAAATTGGTGCAAGCTATATGGAGAGGTTTCCGAATCATTGGACCACACGATGCGTTTGTGTCCCTGGGTCCGTCAGGTGTGGGCGCAGGAGGGTACTCCAATTGATGAAGACCGTATTACTCCAACAAATCTCTAAATAGTCACTTTTTCGGTATTATAACAAACATTATAAAAAACTATGCATAAGTATTAAAATATTTACTCATACCCCAACAAACATTAATCTTTTACTATGAGGCATCATTAGGTTACTGGGATTTCATTATTTTAGATGGAATGGAAGGACATGATAGTTTCTTTTAATTTACTGTATTCTTCCTAGTAGTGTCACATCAAATGTCTTTTATTATCTTCACTTTATTTACAATCTGCTAAATATAGAAACCATTTAAAAAAAACAATACCCTCTCTTTCGCTCACTTCCCAAATGTCGTGCAACTCCATACATTATTACCTTGGTCCTAAAGCCATTACTGGCTTTGACAGAGCAGGAAGGCTTTGAAACTGAGGAAACAATTTAAAGAGAGATGCATACTTTATTCTTCTCAATTGGTTGGCATCCCTAATTCATACTCTCCTTGAAGATTAGAGTGGGAAAAGAAGTCAGGGGAGTGATATTTAATTTTTTTTCTGGTTATCCTTTCCAAATATTACTATATTAGGCAACTCATACTTTCTTCCTGTAGCCCGGAGAATAAGTAATGTTTGTAATATTAAATACGGAGATATTGATATAATATTAAAAACATGGTTCTGAATTCTGGACAGAAGTTATATTTATCATCTGAAAAATCTATAAGAAACATGTCACGAGATGCATCAATCTAAATATGGAGCCTATTTCTGTGTTGTTTCAAATTTCTCACCACTCAACCAAGTGATTACGGAGCCTATTTCTACGAGATGATTGCATCATGTGCAACCACCTCATCAGATTGACTGCTTCTGCTTCTACACCAATAACTTGAAAAATAAACGGGTTTAACATCTAACCCAAAAAGAAAAAGACATCGAACTTGATTTTACTATTCTCCGAAAAGGGTGAGAACTTACCATCTATACCAGTAAGGAAATGGAAGGACCATTAGTTTTACCAGCCACAAATGAAAGACCCTTATTGTTGTTGATGTTACAATTATTATTATTTCACGTAATTTTAGTTCTGGTGATGACCTTCTTCATTCCTTTATAAAGGAGACAGCAGTAGATATCAAATCATCTTGGTGTGCCATGAAATCATGGCTGGCTCCTTCTATTATGTGCAATTTGTGGTTTGGAATGACCTTATCGAACTCAAAAGCATCTTCCACAGGAATGATGTCATCATTCGACCCGTGTATAGTAAACACCCTGCAGGGGTACACACACACATGTTTACAACATTTAAATCCAATGGTTCAGGATTAATAGGAGGGGTGTTGATTTTGTCAGGCTCCGTATCTTTCCAGGGGGAGGATAATCAAAGCATATTGCTGTGTTCACAGAAAATAATTTGTTATATGTATCTACAAAAATAGAAACAAAAGAACGTCTTTGGGATCCCCATTTTAAAAAGAGGAATTTCATAAAATAGGAGTAAAACAAGCAATTTCAGCCCCATTTCAGTCACAATTTCAGCAACAAAAAAAGAGGAACCCTTGCCAGACAGGCAGCTATATAACTTGGTGTAGCTTGAAGTGGAATGTTGAACACAGGTGAGAAAATGAAAAAAAAAGGGAAAACTCCGTATACTTTAGCCAAAGCTATCTGGTACTCACCTGCAGCCTTTGTCAATCTGGAGACAAGCTTTGTGCAAGTCAGTGTTAAGTCGATCCATTAAGCTTTCCTCAGTAACACGATATTGCACTTCTCCTGTAAATGAAACAGTAATTCTGTTAGGATGCAATTGTGAATCAATCAAATAAGACTATATCCCTCAGCTCAGCCTTTTTATTTTATTTTTAAAATTACCCGCTTTGTTCTTCACATCTAGAAACCCCTCTTTCTTGATTCTGTCCAGGTAATCATCACCCAAACGCTCCGCAATGCCCTTCCTCAGGTCATAGCGGCCAGAAACATTGATCACCTTCTCAACATCATGATACCTGGATGCATACAGAATAACAACACTGCCTCCTGCAATACCTTTCTTCAATCAGTGTTAATAGAGACATGTGTGTGTAAGTATATACATATACACAATACACATATATCAATAATAATGA